CTTTTGCGAGTTGTGCGCCACGAAGTAAAATTTTTAATTGCGTACTTTACAAAGTCATGTATTAATATGTGATGGTAAAAAATTAAGCAAATAAACAATGTGATTTCTTGGTATATATACTAATGAAGTCCAACGGCACTTCCTATACCCCAATTTTTCCAAATCAAGAAATTTTTTCTCAGAGTTCCATCACCGCTGAAAAATGATTTAATAATTGTTAAAATATTTTAAATATTTTGTTTATCCAACATATCATTAATGAAGATATATTTTAACCTGCATGGAACATCTGCTAAGATGCGATCAAACTGTATTGGCTTTTTTTCCTCGGTTAGACCCTAATAAATGATATTAATACTGTCCAAAACGTGTAGTAATAATGCTATCAGACAACAACAACAAAAAAAAAAACCTGCTTAACGTATACACCAGGAAATTGTGCTGCATCATGATTAGTTACTATTAAACATGGGCTTTTTAACCGTTTAGCTTGATGTACAAGCATACAACTTCGTTTTAGGTCAGCATCATTTGCAATGACGAGACCAGCTAAAGAAAACTATAAATTAATCTTGTATGCAAATAATAAATGATATCTTTTTTTTAGCAAATTCATCGTCAGGTAGTCTTACAAGGAATTGTCTTATCTTGTAAGTCATTTGCATGCACCGCTTCTAATATTTGTACAGTTTTTGACCCTGGAGCTGCGCACATATCAAGCACCCAGTGACCAGGTTTAACATCTAATAGCAAAGGTGGTATCATACTAACTGTCTCCTGGCGACTAATATTTCCCTGTGTGCGCACCAAAAATAGAATTATTTCTCAAAAGAAGGTATTATGTAAAGGACCCAAACTTAGATTTAAATATAAATCTAAACAAACCACTTCAGTTTCTGCAACTAGCCATTTATGAAAATTTTGAAATGCAGGACTTTTTTTAATTGTACTCCTTGGTGCGGAATGTTGCCATCCAAATTCATCCGGATACCTGATTGATCATTAAATAAACTTCATAAATAATAATTTTCTAGAATCAAAAAGTTTTCTCTTAATCTTACCAAGGTAAAGGCTTTGGGGCTTCAGATTTATTATCATCGCCAAACTGGATTTTATTCAATTCTGGAACATGAACATTTACTAAGACATTACGTAATTCAAATGCATTACTTTCAATTTAATAAAATGAATTTTTAATAAATAGATTTAACCTGAAATAATTTTATGCGTAAATAAAATATAATATTATAGTATGCTTTTTTGGCAAGAAAACTTTTTATTAAATACAAAATACATTTATACAATTACAATGAGAGTATATTAAGCTATAC